TCTTGTTTATTTGTTTATTTCCTTTTTTGTGTTAGTTTGTTTTGTTGTGAGAGTGATCTGTGTAATAGGGTGTAGACAAATTCCCCAAAAGTATGGAGAAAAATTTTAATATTTTTGCAGAAACGGAGAAAAAAATTAAAGTTCTCCAAGAATTTGTATTTCTAAGTTTGTGTTGGGCCAAGTTGTTCTAAAAAGCTTTGGTTGGTTTTTCTTGCCTGAACTTTTTCTTTAAGGCTATTTTGGGTATTTGCTTAGTGCCAAGGTGTTCTAAATCTAAGTTTTCTTTAGCTCCAGTTTTGGACACAGTGATCATTAGAAAGAGTTCGGTAAAACTTGAGTATTAACAATGTCCTTTACATTTCTTATTTATACTCTTACATTCTTTACTCTACTAATAATATTATAACTAATCACATAGTTTATCTAATTCTGTTATTGCAAGGTTACTTTATAGTCTAATTTTTTTTTTTGTCAGAAGTATATAATTTTTATAGGTATAATAAGTTTTATAAGTTGTGTAAAAGGTTACTTAAGCTTTTGATCGTTGCTTTTACTATAGGCTACTATTATATCTATTAAGGTTTCTGGATTTTCTCCATATATATATATGAAAATTAGGACCTTTTACTATGCTACTTAGTGACCGATTTGGGTTTTGGTTATTTACTAAAGTGGATTTATTTAGGGTATATGGGTCAAGAGGTGTTATTTTTTAGGGATAGGAATTGTAAGCAGCATGAAACTTATTTTCTAAGAGCCTTTATGGCCTTTATTTATAAAAAAGATTTGGTATTATAACAAATATAATACATTAAATAAAAGCGATAAATTGCTAAAAGCAATATATCAGATAAATTTACTAAAAGTGATAAATTCAATAATTTCAATAAATGCGATAAAATCGCTTTTGATCCGTAACCTTGGGTCAGATTTTGGAGCTCATAATATATCGATATGAAAATCTGAATTTACTGTGGATAATATTAACTTTCAGTATACTTTTCTCTTGTGCTAGTTTTTTATAGAGCAAATCTTATACTTTAATATCACAAAGCTATTTTTTTGATTTACACTATTTTATAGTATAAATATGTTAATCGAAAAAAATGGCTCTGTTTATTAATGTATATGATTTGCATCTTTATTAAAAAAATTAGACATTAATTATTATACTAGCACAAGAGAAAAGCATGCTAAAAGTTAATATTATCTGCAGTAAATTCAGATTTTCATTATATACGACCCTGATTAATGTTTAATTTACTAGTACTGTATTTTGAACATCTTAATGCCACATGTATAATTCACAAATTCTTATTGCATGTTTATGCTGCAATTATTTGGTAAGTTTTTTTTTTTAACCCGAGCTAAATAAATTAATAATAATTGTTAATTAGAAATTTGGAATATAACTATATTTTGTTAAAGCACTTTTATAGCTTTAAATTATAATACTTTCAGAAAAGAAGTGTGAAGAAATTATATCTACACGAAAATTAGGCAAGTCATATAGACAAATTGTTAAACTTGTTGGTTGTGATCCAAAGACTGTTGGAAATGTACTTAACTGACTTGAAAATCCATCTCAAGTATTACCGGATCGTTAAGGAAGACCACCAATCTTAAACGAATCAGCACAAGATCGTTTAACACAACTTGTTTTAAGTAATCGCCGTATGACTAAAGAACAAATTCAAGCTGCATTGAAATAGCAAGAAGACAAAGTAATAATTTTTTTTTAATTTATTTTTAATTTTTTTAATTTATTTTTAATTTTTTTTATTTATTTTTTTTATTTTATTTTACTTCATTTCAATATTTTTATATTATAGGTAGTTTCTCAAAGAACTATTAGCTGTACTCTTTGCAAAGCTAACCTGTTTGCACGTGTTGCCCGTACAAAGCCTTTTATTAGTGATAAAACTAAAAAAGAGTGTCAAGAGTGGGCAGAAACACATCTTAATTGGACAACCGAAAATTGGAAGAATGTTCTTTGGTCAGATAAAAAATATTTTAGTTTGGTCTCTCCTAATCCACGTCAGTATGTATGAAGAAGGCCAGATGAAGAATTTAATGATGATTGTCTTGTTCCAGCAATCAAATCTAAAGAGATTATGATATGAAGATATTTTTTTTGGTGGGGTCTTGGTCCTTTTATCTGTCTCCACAGCAGTATCACAAGTGCATCCTATCATAGAACACTTGTTCATTATGCTATTTCTAAACTTTAGGACCAATATCCTAACAATAATGGGATATTTCAACATGACAGTGCCTCAGTCTACAGAGGCAAACTTGTTAAAAGGTATCTAGCTAATAAATATATTAAAATATTTAAATGGCCTCCATATAGCTGAACCTTAATCCTATTGAGAACCTTTGGCCCGAGGTTGAAAATAAGCTTCAAAAACATTACCCAAGACCTGGCAATCTTAATGAGCTTAAAAGAATGGTTAAGGAAGAATGGGAAGTATTATCTCAGAGTTATTATAGACATCTTGTTGAAAGTGAAGTAGACTACATTAAAGCGGTATATGATAATGATGGTGGTCATTCACATTATTAATTTGGATGTAATTATACTACTGTATGTATAAAGATTATTTGCTTTAATAGTTAAATAAATAAATAAAAAGTAAAAAAAATAAATAAATAAATAAAAAGTAAAAAATAAAAATTAATAAAAGTAAGAGAATAATAAATAAAAAGTAAAAATAATAATAATAATAATAAATAAATAATATAGGTCAGTTTTATTTTGTAGTCTCGTGCTCATATGGAGGTGAGTCAATAGAAATCAAGCAAATTTTTTATAATAAAAATTTTTTATAACATTAAACAAGAATAACTTAACAAAAACTTGACTAAATTTAATAAAAATTTTTTTAAATAATTTTTACAAACTTGTAGAATTAATTTAAAAAAAAATTTATTGAATTTGATCAAGTTTTTGTTAAGTTATTCTTGTTTAAAATTTTAAAAAAACTTATTAAAAAATATTTGCTTGGTTTCTATTAACTTAACCCCATATGATTATTAATCGATTCATGGTTATTAATTATTTGAGATCAAAGAGCATTACAAATACTGTATAGTTTGAGGAGGTTTATATACAGATAGTAACATATTTAAGGTTTGTGATATGATTTCTTTATGCCGAATTTATCATTTACAAATTGAACAAAATAGCACTATGGTTTTAATCTCAAAATTTATTAACAATCGATCTAATCGATATTTCAAATATTGGTAACCAAGAATTGAGTATAAGTAATTATAAAAAAATGTATTAGTTACTTGATTTATTAGCTCTCAATTTTCGTATATGTGTATGGAGAGAATCTAGAAACCTTAATAGATGTGATAGTAACCCATAGTAAAAGCAATAATCAAAAGCTTAAGTGACCTTTCACACAACTTATAAAACTTATTATATATATAAAAAATATATACTTCCAACAAAAAAAAAAATTAGACTATAAAGTAACCTTGCAATAACAGAGTTAAATAAACTATGTAATTACTTATAACATTATTAGTAGAGTAAAGAATGTAAGGGTATAAATAAAAAATGTAAAGAAAAAGATCTAGAGTCTTAGTTTTAGTTTTAGTTGTAGTCCTAGTCTTAGTCTTAGTTTTATTCTTATTCTTAGATTTAGTCTTAGTATTTTTTTTAGTCTTAGTCTTTTTTTTAGTCTTAGTTTAGTTTAGAGAGAGTTTGCATATTTTGAATAATAAGAATAATCAATATTATCTAGCAGCTTATTATAATTTATCTGCCTAATAATTTTATTATTTGGCAGAAATAATAGTTAAAAATAGTTTAAACTATTATCTCTGCCCAATAATTTTATTATTAGGCAAGCAAATTATAGTAAACTACCAGATAATCCATTATCAGGCAGTACCTGTCTGATAACTTATTACTATATTATCATCAATATTATATAAACAAGTGAGATTCATTAGATCCATATCTAGTTAGATTTCTAAACTGTTAGTATCACTTTAACTTCGTAACATGTTACTAATTTCTCTTCTAATTCTATAGCTACAGATTAATAATATACTATATATATATTAAAATAATCTGCATTTAGCCTCATGAAAATTTACTACTAAAATAAGTATTTATTCAAGTTTATACATCTTTAATATATAGTACTTTTAAATTATTTTATTTAAGTTTAGTTCATGCATATTTTACTAGCTAATTTAATTTATTTAAGCGAATAAGCCACTAAGCATAGCTATTTTTACTTATTAGTTATCTTTTAAAAGTTGTACATATACATACATATCATATGTGTACAATAAAAATGATGCAAATATATGCCCGGAAATATATAATCGAGTAGATATTATTAAATAAACTACTAAAGTTAGCTGGGAGATTTAAGGTTGTATTTTCTTTAATCTAGCTAGATACTAAAAAAAAAAATAATAATAATAAAAAAAGGTGCCTAATAAAAGACTATAAGGTTAGAAAATACATGTAAGTGTCTTAACAATTATGTCATGTAATGATCGTGACAATCACCGACAAAAATCGTGACATAATATTACCAATTTAATAGTAAACTTTAACCTCAATTATCTCAACTTCTAGAGATTAGAATCAAACAAGCTTTTTTTTATTTTAAAGTATTATGTCTCTTCTACGGAATAAAAAAAAAAAATTAGCAAGTTCATAACTGGTTGCCGAGATAATCGAGATATACGATGATGAATAAAATCTAATATATTATAATAGATTATTTGACTTATCTTTGCAACTAGTAATTAGATTTAGCCAATTTTTTTTTATGTTGTAAAGAAAGTGCAAATCTATTAGTTAAAATAAAAATTGTTAATTTTAGATTAATAATCATTGAGAAAATTAGCTTAGAAGTTTGACTTATAAAATTTTTGTTTTTTTTTAATTTCTTAACTGATTATTGATCAAAATTTGATCAAATTTTTACAGTAGGTAGAAAAAAGGTTTCTCTATAAGTTGGTAAAATTTCATTAAAATTAGATTAATAGTTATTGAAATATGTTCACAGAAATACAGACACTTACATAATTTATCAAAACCCTAAAAGTAAAGTTAAATAACTTGCTAATTATGCAAGCATGTGATCTAAAAATGATATGAAATAATCCTCAAAGAGTAAGGATTACTATAGTCAAATCAAGAACCTAAGTTAATTAGAAAGTTTTTGAGTTATAAGCCAAGTCCTTAGGTGTGGAAATATTTTTGTCACCCTCTTATATTTTCTTCTGCCATTTCTTTCTTGTGATCAGCTTCTTGTAGGTCTGTGTTTTCTTTGTCTTTTTCTTTCTTCTTCTTTCTAAGCTTCTTTCTTTTCTGTTTCTTTTCTTTGGTTATATTGTTTCTTTTTTCCTATTCTGAGACTAGTTCACACCTAAAGCTTCATATGTGCTTGAAGAACCGACATTGGAAGTGATTAAGGATGGTCTGTGTAAACTTGCTGACTTTCCTTGCTTTGGCTAGAATTATGCATATGTTTTCCTGTTTTTGTTTTGTGATTATCCCCTTCATTAGCTCTTCTCTTGTTGCAATTTTTTCTTGTATGCTTTTGCCAAAGATTAGC